TGGAGAGGAGGGGAGAAGGGTTTTGCAGCAAAGCCTCCCAGCTTGCTCAACCGCCAGAGGTGAGTGCCAGCTCTGTGAACGGCGGGCTGCAAAGGAAGAAAAGTGGGGTGGGAGGCAAGATTAAAAACTAAAGCCGCGCTGTCAGCAGGAGGCTTGGAAAAGAGTGAGGAGCTTCAAGTGCTTTTCCTTGTGCTGGGTCATCTGGCTGGCTGTGAGAGCTGGGAGGATTGTTGGTGCTTCTGAGCCATCAGCAGAGCAGGAGAAACAGCATTTCGGATGCTGATGGAGACTTGAACTGTGAAATCCCTCAAAGGACTGGAACAGGAAGCCCATGGATGGTTTTTATTCCTGCGGAAAGGGAGGCTGTGATCAATGACACCAGGAGCAGGAAGAGCTGGGCGGAGGAAGGCAACTCCACGTTGCCTTCCGCGGGGGGTGACAGCTGCCTTGCTTCTCCTTCTCATCCTCTCCACGCTCCTGGGCAACACCCTGGTGTGCGTGGCCGTCGTCAGGTTCAGCCACTTGCGCTCTAAGGTCACCAACTTCTTTGTGATCTCCTTGGCGGTGTCTGACCTCTTCGTGGCTGTCCTGGTGATGCCTTGGAAGGCTGCCACCGAGGTGGCGGGGTTTCTGGCCCTTCGGGGCTTTCTGTGATGTTTGGGTGGCTTTCGATATCATGTGCTCCACGGCCTCCATCCTCCATTTGTGCATCATCAGCGTGGATCGCTACTGGGCCATCTCCAGCCCCTTCCGTTACGAGAGGAGGATGACACAGCGTGTGGCTTTCATCATGATCGCGGTGACTTGGCTGCTCTCCTCTTGATTTCCTTCATCCCCGTGCAGCTGAAGTGGCACAAGGACCGTGAGCTCCATGGGGAGCAGGAGCTGGGTGTGAACAGCACCGGGGAGGAGGAGAGCTGTGATTCCAGCCTCAGCAGGACTTATGCCATCTCGTCTTCTCTCGTTAGCTTCTACATCCCCGTTGCCATCATGATCGTGACGTACACCCGCATCTTCCGCATTGCCCGGCGGCAGATCCGCAGGATCTCCTCCCTGGAGAGAGCAGTGGAACATGCCCAAAGCTGCCACAACAGCGACTGCCCTCATGGAGCCCCCTGAAGAACTCCTTCAAGAAGGAGACCAAGGTCCTCAAGACCCTCTCCATCATCATGGGTGTCTTTGTCTTCTGCTGGCTGCCTTTTTTCGTGCTCAACTGCATGGTGCCCTTTTGTGATCTTGACCTCCACAAGCCAGGAGAGCTGCCTTGCGTCAGCGAGACCGTCTTCAGCATCTTTGTCTGGTTCGGCTGGGCCAACTCTTCCCTCAATCCATCATCTACGCCTTCAACGCAGATTTTCGGAGAGCCTTCGCAACCCTCTTGGGCTGTGCCTACCTTTGCCCCAGCAACGCGGTGGAGACGGTGAACTTCAGCAACGAGCTGGTCTCCTACCACCACGACAGCACCTATCAGAAGGAAATGGTGACCCTTAGCTACCCCCAGCTTCTCCCCCATGCTGCTCCACAGCTGGAATACAATGAGGTGTCCTTCGACAAGGTTTCTCAGCTCTCCTCTCACAGCACCTGCCCTGCAGCGATGCACGTGGAGCACGAAGTAGCTGTCTCGCTGGAGAAAGATTACACCTTTCACCAGCAGTGCCATGGATTGAGACAAGCTTGGAGCAGGGTGGTGCAGTGGTCTCAGGTGGAACAGGGTCTCAGATGGATCAGCTATTGCCTATTTGATGGATTTTTGAAGATAACGTGGATCCTGGGCAGGAGTTTGCCTTAAAAAGTTTTGAATAGCCAGAGTGATTTTCCAGATGGCTTAAGGGATTCATATATATATATATATTATTTGTTTATTTTAAATATTTTTTTGTAACTTGCAGTTTCAGATCCAGCCCAGGTGGCCAGGAGAAATCTGTGTGGCTGCGCTCTCCAGCTGACCCAAGGGAAAATGCTTTCTGCAAAAGACAGAAACGCAAGGGCTTGGATTCCGCCTTTGTTGTGACTTCAGCTGACAAAGCAGGGGCTGTTGTGGTCTGCTGAGCCTCTCCTACTTAGTCCACGAAGTAAAATTGCAGCTGTGCTTGTGGGGAAAGGGGCTGTGCCCAAAAAAGCCATCAGCCTGAGGCTGCTCCATGGGCACAAGCTGAATTCAGCGCTCCGTAGTGCTGCCTTGTGCTTGGTGGAACAGCGCTGAGCTGCATAGATGGGGAAAAACACTTTTCTGGGGGGCTGTGCAAGAAGGTGGCAGTGGCCTTGCGGGGATAAATTTGTCTGGGAGGTGATTAGGCTCACCTCTGACTGCCTCCCTGTTGTTCAGGCAGGTTATCCTGCAGGCCAGACAAGCGAGCAGCCACCTTTCCTGGAGCCCTGGGCTGTGCTTGGCAGCAGCTCCTTTGGAGCATCCTGCAGGGCATTTGCTCATTAGCAAAGGATTCTGCCTGCTAAAGGTCTGCCCTGGCCCCTGAAGCAGGGCCAGCCTCTCTCTAAGCTGGGACATGTACAGCTGAGGGCAGTCTGGGATGAACAAGGAGCACGTTTTAGCCCCAGGATACTGGACCATTTGCTGGGGGCCTTTGGTAACGAGGGTGTCTGAGCCCTTCAGCCTCGAGAGGACAAACTGGGAGCAAAAACATTGCAGATTTGGCTTCATCCCTGTGCCACATCTTCCATCAGTCATGCCCCCTTCCTTTTCACAGTCTGCTTCTGCCCCTTTCACTTTGTTCTCCCTCTAATTCCCTTCCTCCCCCATTTCATTAAGGATCCTTCCTGCCTTGCTGTCTCATTTCAATAATAATGGCTTCTTCAGAAGCGCTCCTTGCTCACCTGTACTCTTTAATTAGCCTCTCCTGTGCACCTTGGAGCTTGTGTCTGGCTTGCTCGGGGTAGAAATGGCAAGCGAGCAGCCCCAGCATTTCACTGTCGACTGTGACACGAGTGATTTTGGGAGCGTGTTTTGATCGGTGCTCGCTTAAACACTGCGGCAGCGAGCAGCACACCCGTGTCGCCTCGACTCCGAGACATCTTTAGCTCTCTGGCACAGCAGAAGAGCCTCCCCCCCGCTCCCTGCAAACATTAACAAAGAGAAAAATCAGCAAGTGATAATTATAGAGGAACGGTAATTATTAAATAGAGCCCAATTATCGTCAAGTTTCAGCATAATCGGTGTGGGAGGGGAGCAGAGCTTGCCGTACTTCCAAGGTCGATGCTCGGATTTCTCTGTGGAAGTGCTGATAAACCTCAGCTTCATTTGTAGCTGGTTCCCTGCATAGCAGCAAAGGTCTAAACCTGAGACAGTCTTGGGGCTTTTCAGCTCTGAGAGGACAGGGCAGCCTAACTTACAGAAGGAATTGTTCTCAGATGATGTTGTCTAGTGTTTTTAGGAGGCCCAACGTGAATGACTTCATGTGGACGTTACTGCAGGACACGCGGTGATTTCTCCACTAAAAGCTGGGTTGTAGCACGTGTGTTGTGCTTTATTTGGGACTACATGTAATACCCAGCCAGTGAAGGTACTGTCCTGGTCTCCCTGCTTTGGAACAATTTAATAAGATCATCTTATCGTGAGGTGCTGGGCTTTAATCCATGACTTTATGTAAAGAGATTGGAGAAAATCTAGTGCTTCAGTGTACCTCGGGTATCTACGATGAGCTGCAGGGTAAACCTGCAAAGAAACACAACAGAGACGGTGATGTGAACCTCTGATAGAGGTGGGGCTTCTTTTTTGTATGGTTACTGTCTGCTTTTAACTAGTGTGGAGTTTGGGAGTGCTGCAGGAGACCCCTTGTTCCTCTCAATCCCCTGCTCCAGCCGGCTGGGGCTCTCTCCTACCGAGGGTGCAGTGCCCCAGCTCCCTCTGACTCCACCTGCTACGTGCCAGGGCTGTTTCCTTCCTGGCATCTGCACCAGAAGATCCAAGGTGGTGACACTGAGCTAAACCAAAAGCTTCCAGGCTGTGGAACAGGCCTCTGCACATCGGGGAAATGGGTAACAGCTCCAAAAAGTTGTGTGACTTGGGCTTTGTTTGGCAAAAAGCATGCTTTGTCTAACTTTGCTTCAGAAGGGGCTTCTTTATTTTGCTGCCACGGAGATGGGGCAGAGAGCAGATGCTTCTCATCCTCTGGCACCTCAACCACAGCCTTAGGAAACCTGACTTGTGCAAGTCTCAGGTCAGCTGGGATAACACAGTTTTTGGTGCTGCCTCGCACCTGGGTGAGGGCAAATTGGGCACCTCCTGATCCAGAAACTCTTCTCCCTCTGCAATCACTCAGCCTTTCATAGCTGCACACCACCAGGGCTGTGCCTTGCGGTGCTTTTCCAGCTCCTGAGGTTTGCTAGCACCAGGAGCGAAGCGCAGTGCTGTGAGGGACAGGAGTGAGGAAAGAGGAGATGCTGCAGGTCGAGGGGAAAAAGAGAAAAAGCACCAGGGTCCAGTGACACAGGGACAGGAGGCACCGAGGCAGAACGTGAGCTAAGGCTCATTCTCGGAGAAGAAAGCCAGACCACTAGCCTGAATTATTCCCAAGTGTCATCACCTTGCTTGTTCTCACGTCATCTGCTGGCCTGGAACACAGCCCTTTGAGGTGAGGTGGGAAGCTCTTCTTATTTAGTGTCTCCGACAGTCCTTGGAAGCCCAGACCTGTTTGGTTTTCCACCGATTGCTTTCTGCTTCTCTGAATTTTGCCCCACAGTCCTGCTGGGAAGCATCCTCCTCCTTCCACCCCGAGGTTGTGCAGCGTGCTGCTACATCCCTGGCTGTATTTCAGAGGTGGGTGAAATGAATTCCT